ATCAGTGACCTCTGACATCAACAGGTGTGGATGCATACAATGCAGTTACCAAACTCCAGAAATGGAAATACCTTCGGGAAGTGATTCCCACCTTTAGAGTCCTGTGAACTAATGACAAAACAAGCTTAACACAGTTAGTCACAATAATTGATAAAAAGGAGTGGAATAAATAAGAAGTCATGACACAAAATCTCCCCTTTCACCAGAGGGCAAGATGTTGCCCGGTAATATACATAAAATAGGGGCATTATTTTAAAAAGAGCCCTTAGATAAGAGTGATCCAATGGAAATAATATTAGAATTCCAGAAATTGGCAAGGAGTCCATTGATCAACTCTTCCACTGTAAATTACTCACATAATAAAAATCATTTACAAAAGTACCCTAAATACTCTGCAAATCCATTTGCACAATTATATCATAAATACCCACTATCTGTGAATGTAAAACTCTTGGGTACTATTGACTTTTTACAAAATTGATGAAAAATAACACTTTAGCTGATAAATATATAATCACTGTTAGTGACCTCAAAATATTCATATGTATGTGTATGTTGTTTACACGAGTAAAATTCATTAAGACTAAGATCATGTCCTTACTATACAAAGCTCAATGTCACTTTTAAAAAAAAAATAACTATCCATATTTTCTCCTCCTACCATGCTAGAAATAAAAACACGAGATATTTTACATTACTGAATTATTCAGCTTCCACTCAATTATTTCACCTCTTTTCTTTAATCTTTGAAAGTGTCTAACATCATCCCCTCCTGAAAAAAGAAGGGAAGCATGGGGCCTCTGCCCTACTTACACACAGAAGTTGGAGAAAAGTACCTGCCAGACACAGCAATAGCACTCTGGGGCTCTGGCGGGTTAAAGAGGCTCCTAGCCAGCTATCTGGGAGTCTCACTGGAGCACATTCCTGCCCCTTGAGAGGAGTGGAAAGGAAACAAGCCTGAGAAACCGTCCCAAAAAGGGAAGCTACATCATCAGCCATAGTGCAAAAGTCAAGACACGGCCTGGAGTCGAGGGCTTAGGATACACTCAGCAGTGTGGCACCGACCAAAGGGCAGGCTGAGTAAACTTCCCAAGTCATGCAACCAAAAGCTTACCAAAATATCCAGGAAAATTACCCTTAGTATCTTTATTTCCCAATCTCCTAACCCCACCCCATGGAAACTTATTTTTAAATAATACTATCTCAGTCACAAAATTATTAATGAGCCCAACTTTGAATTTTAGGAATCACAGTAAAGCACCTCCCCTATAGGGTGTCTGTTAGGAAATGGCCTGAGATCTTGACCACAAACATTGCCAATATCTGTGAGAGAGGACTACTTTTTTTTTTTTCTTTCCTTCAGAAGAAAAATACTGTCAGAATTTTGTCTCTTTTATTTCTGCTTTTTCTCAATATGTTATCCTGACACGTAATGGAATTTGCAAAATATTTTATCAGTGGTACTGACTGAGAGTATATAAAAGTATTAATGTAATAATAATAAGATGTAAATAACTCTTGTATGAAAATAATCATTGATAAGATTACTTCTTTAGTTAGATTTTTTTTTAGAGAAACAGTGTATATTGCAATCATGAATTTTAAAACCTACTTTAATTCAGATATGTTCTAGTTACAAATCTAAATAATAATTGTTGAATTTATGCCTGCCATTTTCATTTTCATTTATGCAAGGGAAAATTAAATATTTTAAACTATTCCGCACCAGAGTTTATTTAGAGTACTAGCCCATTTGCCCATTTCTTAATTATTTTCCATTACTTTAAAATCCATAATAAAACGGAATCATTATCTACTTTCTTCCTTTGTTTATGGTAATTGTTTTTAAAGAGATATTTTGTTTCACAAGATTTTTCCTTGAGAAAATATGGAGAATCCTTCATTTCATGAATTCATTCATCCAAAAGATTTTGGAACATTATTCTAATCCCTAAAAGGAAGGCTTATGTTTTCAATCTAGTAAGTGGAAAAAAGTTTAATTATTTGATAGGTGCTACCATTTTGAAAAGTGTGGTATCTTTTCTTATTGTTGAAGAAATATGGAGCTCTGGTAGCATAGTGGCTAAAGCACTTGACTGCTAACCAGAAGGCTGGCGGTTCAAATCCACCAGTCACTCCTCGGAAGGAAGGTTGGGCAATCCTACTTCCGTAGTGATACTGCCTTGGAAACCCAAGGAGGGGTCGCTATGAGTCGGGGCCGACTCGACGGCACATAACAACAACAACAACAATTTAATTGAAAGCAAAATTATTTAATTGAAAGCAAAATTCAATAAACAAAGTTCAGCATTTTATTTCCATGTGAATACTGAACCACATATGTTTCTGGAATGACCATGGTTACTTTCGTAAACATGATTCATGCAAAAAAAAAATGTATAATAGTGATATGTAACACTATTTCTTTTAGGAATTGAGGGAGAGATTCTATTCTACACTTGATTTTAACTTTTAAAACTAAAGACCATGACAACTTTACATACATTAGAACAAAATCATTAATAAGTTTGCTTCCTAGTGTAGCAGTTACTTTTGTTTAGCAAATTCTTTCAACATGAACATTCTTTCAATCAAATGCTTAATGATCTAGGAACAATAAAAGCCATTACATTGATGATGAGTGGATTCCAACTTACACAGACACAGTACAACTGCCCAATAGGGTTTCCAAGGCTGTAAGCTTTACAGAAGCAGATCACCACATCTTACTCCCTCAAAGCAGCTGTTGGGTTGGAACCGCTGGCCTTTTGGTTAGCAGACCAGTGCTTAAACTATTGCACCACCAGGTCTCCTCCATAAATGTCATCAAAATCCACAACAAACCCACTGCAGTTAAGATGATTCCAAGTCATAGCAACACTACAGGACAGAGTAGAACTGCCCT